TTATATTGTTAAAACACTTTACGGTACAGTATTTTATTTGCTTATCTTTTAACTCTTCACTAGTATGTTATTCTTATACATTTTTCTAAGGTCTACATTTGTGTGACCATTTTTTCTATAATCTTTTTGCTGCTGTAAACACCAGAATTTCCCCCATTGTGGGGCAACAGAGGGATTTTCTATTGTATTCTATTGTATATAAATAGGTGGGGTTTTTTTACAACATCCACACCATTTAAAAGCCTGTCAATTCTAAACGCCTTTTTTTTTTTTACTTTTGATTCTTGCTGTATTTCCTAGTGGGAACAAGTATAATTCAACACTAGATTACAAAGGAAATGCCCCATGACAATACTTTGAAAGACAGACCAGACCTGCTCTCATTACAGCCCCTAGTGGTGGTTCAACATGTATTTTTAAATTGACAGAACCAAACTGATATATGGATCAGTTCCATAGAGAACATTAATTATTCATATGTAATAAGTAGAAATAAAATCTTTAATGTCTTTGCCTCACCCTTTTTTCTTCCCTTTATTCATTTGTTTTGTGTAATGTCTTTATCGCCTCTGATAAATGTTCCCTGTTTGGTTTCATTATTGGATCTGGTCCCATTGAGCGTGGATGACCCGACACAAATAAGGGCACCTTGGGGTAGTGATAGGCAATAAAGTTGCAGTAAAACAGCAATTTATCGCTCCAATACTAAACCAGATGATACGCAGTATAATGCATCTACCTGGTGGACGAAGATTGGTAGATGTTAAAGCTCTGTGTTGCTAATGGATGTGGGGCATGGTGCTAGAGAAGGAGGGAATCAGGAAGACTATGCTGAGGCTTGATAGTTGATATCTTGCTGAAGATTCAGGGCAGAATTTACTCTGAGGTCAGCAGGGGATTCTCAACGTCTGTCCACAATTTCAAAAAAGCAACTAAAGGGAGCAGACATCAAGGGGCTTCAACACAAGACAGAAGCTTGAGTGGGAAAAAAGAGCCAAGTTTTATAAATAAAAGGGAATTTCAGACATTCTTGATTAAACAGGGCAAGTTCTTTTTCATTTGATGTTACTTATTTAACCACCAAAAAAAAAAATCAAAAATCAAAAAGATGACCCATATGTTAATTATTGAAGTAATAGTATTTTACTCTCTTCATTAAATTGAATCTCTTTAAGCAAAACACATTTTCTTAACATTGGCTTATGAATGAAAAACTACATTAAACTTCCTGATGACAGGAAGTTGTCTGATAGATAATCAATGCTGTAAATCAATGCCATAAAAGATGGAAGGCTTCATATCGGAGCTTGTAATTGAGCCTTGTGTTATTACTCACAGGAGGGCTGTTAGTTCGACCAGCCAAAACAACTGCACCAAAACATCACAGTCCATTAAACATCGAGATCATTTTTGGTTGACAAATGCAATCAATCCAGGCTTTTCTGGACCATTTAAAAACTAAAGAAAAACACACATACAAAAGATCTTTGACCTCATTTGATTATTTGAAAATGTGATTTTGAGGTAAAATAGTGATGGTTTAGGATTCAGTGAGTAGTTTTACATCATCTATCGCATGAATACCTAACATATTTCACCAAGATGCAAAAAATGAATGTAAAAAAGCAAGCAAAGAGGTGTTGTTTCCATTTTTAACTATTTATATCATTAGTAAAGTCATGTAATTTGCTGACTATTGACCAGTGTTTTCTTTACATCCACCTTACAGAGAGAAAGGATCTTAAACATCGAACGGATCTGCAACCTTCTCCGCAAAGTGAGTAATAGTTGGTTTTCACCTTTGGGGGGTGGATGACTAAGAAAGGCTTCAGACCACAAAGATCACTTGTCTTTTTCTAAGTACTGTCATAATTACACAGCGATTCACATATATTCCTGTCCTCAAGACACATCATTCAGGTGGTGACGGCAGGACCATCAAGGTCTTATCTGTCTGGAGGCTTTGAGAAAGAAAGACAAAGCTTAAGGTCTCTGAGAGCTCAAGTTGTTCTTTATTCAGTTTTGAAAATACATTAGATGGAAGCTCAGTTGCTGAAAGCATGTTAAATCTGGAGGTCATCAGATATATATATATATATATATATATATATATATATATATATATATATATATATATATATATATATATATATATAT